TAGCCCAGAGCCTTGACCCACTTACTTCCCAGCTCCACCCTCCACCAGGATAACCCTTCTCATCTGCCAAGTCCCTTCAGAAAATATCTTCCATTGTCCAACCCATGATCTGACAGCTTGTATCTTAAGCTTTCTTGGCTTCTGTGATTTTGGAATCACAGAAGCCAAAGTCATAGAGGTTTATTAAAACCATGTTCAATAGAGGCTTTTCTTTTTCTTCTTTTTCCCCTTCTTAAGCAAATATGATCACTGCTATGAGTGGTATCTTCTATACCCAGAAGAAAACATTTCTCCAGATGTCTGCTCTGTGCTGGCTAGTTAATAGACTTTAAATGCTCAGTTCCATTTAAAAAAAACCACCACAACAACAAACTAGAAAGCAGAACAGCAGCAGCAACAAGGCTGCATGTCCGCACAACCACCATAATGTTAAGTGCAGCAAGATGCTTGAGTTAAGTTCAGTGAAAGAGATTTGCAGCTGGGTTGATGTTGCCTTGACCTTGACTTCCTCATTAGTGGAATAGTAAACAACAAATGAATATGAAAAAAGAAAAACAGGATGGAAGAAACAAAAAAACAATTATGAAAAGCACATTACTGTTCATATTGAAAGCATGAGAAGATGACAGCCAGATAATATGTTTTGAGTTATAATGTTAATAGTTAACATAGGTTAATAATTAGATGGGATGGTAGTTGTGGGGAGAACCAAGTCAAGGCAGTCTCAAATTTCTTATTTTGAGAGAAAACAAAAGATTCAGGACTGTTCTTGTGGTTTACTACATGTCCCTTCAATTTTGTGCTCTGCTTCTAAATGTAACTTTATTATAATTGTGAACACTTATCTGATTTTAATCAGATGTCTTCATTAAGGGGTATTGCTGTCAAAGGAGCCCTTATTATGTGTTGTTTCTCTTGTTCGTCCAGCTTCTGCAACCTTCCAACCACTGTTGTTGTTTTGTACTGTCAAGTAGGAACTGACCCATAGCTGACCCTCTGGTAGGTTTTCAGAGGCAGTTAACCTCATGGGAGGAGATTTCCCATGGAGCAGCTGGTGGATTTGAACTGCTTGCCTTCAGGATTGCAGTGCAACTGCTGCCACTAGGCCACCAGAGTTCCAACCATAGTAACTTGTATTTACTAACCTAACTACCATCAAGTTGATAATATCGATGGCCCTCCCTCAGGTTTCTAAGGCTGTAAAATCTTAATGGGAGCAGACTGATTTGCTTTCCCCCACAGAGCTGCTGGTGGATTCAAACTGCTAAAATTTTTCTTAGTAGTCCAACATTTAAATCACTACGATACCAGGACTTTCTGTTATTACTGTTGCTGGTGTGTACAATTGAGTAATAGATGACTCTCCAGTGAGTTTTTGGAGACAGAAAATCACACTGCACTTGATTACCCATTTTTGTCCTGAGAAGCAGGTGGAATATTCTAACCACATGCCTTTGGATTAATAATGTAAGTCCATACTACTAGGCAGAGCACTCCTTGGAGGAGCTAGAGTGCTCCTTGAAGGCAAGGATGATGAAGCTTTGTCTTTCGTACTTTGGACATGTAGCTGGTGAGTCTATTTCTTGGAAAGGGACATCATGTTTGATGATCACTGAGGGAGAAGAAGATCCACAATGAGATGGATTGACACTGTGACTTCAGCAATGGGCTCTAGTGTCTCAGAGATGGTGAGGATGGCACAGGGTAAGGCAGGGTTCATAGGGTTTCTCTGAGTCATACTAAACTCAACAACACCTAACAACAACAGGGTACTAATCACCAATATTTATTAGGTGTTTATGGTTTCTGAAACTGCTCTTAGCATGTTTTGTAGATTATTTGCTGCCAGTACGCAATCACAGCTTTGTCCGTTGGATCCTACCATGTGTACAGATGAAAAAAAAAGACCCTGAAACTTAAAGGTGTTAAATAAACTTCTCAAGATCACAGAGCTATAAGGTATTTTAACTAGGATTTGAACATATGACTGCTGAACCCAAAACCTTCTTACTTCACCACCACTTACTAATATTGCTAGAATTGTATCATTTCACTCATGGTATATGTGGCCCCCTACTTACTTTATGAATATCTGCAAATATTTGCAAAGTGGTATATGCATAACTCTCTGTGCATGTATTTTGTGGATAATCTCTATTCATTTTTAGGAGAACATTTTAGGGAGCATCCCATGATCCTCTAAAATAATATTTTGGGGAGCTCTGGTGGCCTAGTGGCAAGAAGCTGCACTGCAATCCCAGAGGAGCACGGTTCGAATTCACCAGATGCTTTGCTGGGAAAGGAGGGACAATCTCCTCCTGTACCAGTCAGATCTGATTTGACGGTACACGCACACACACAAATAATAAAATAAAAATTTTAAAAAAATATTTCAATTCTTTGATTCTATCACACTTATTTGACATAGCTTTGTATAATTAATTTGTATTTTATATAAAAATCCATAGCAATAGAGTCTAGTGCTGTTTGTAAATAAAATTACTGAAGACAATTTATTAAAGCTAGTAAGTGGGGGAGTTCTGGTGGCCTTGTAGCAAGAAGCTGAGCTCCTATTCCAAAGGCACATGGTTCAAGGCCACAGCTGCTCCACAGGAGAAGGATGGGAAATCTCCAGCATGATTAACTGCCTCTGAAAACCCACCAGAGGGTCAACTACTGGTTGGTTCCAACTGAACAATACACCACAACAACTGTAATAAGTAAGGATTCGTGGTGGCATATTGAGTGATGTGCCAGTCTCTAATCAAAAGATTTTCATATCAAATCCATCAGAGTCTGCTAGGGAGAAAGATCAACAGTCTTCCATAAAGATTCAGGGTCTTGCAAATCCAACGAAGAGTTGCAAAAAATTGGAATTGACTCAGTGGGAATGAATTAATTGTTTTTTAGGAACCTACATCTTGTTTGCTCAAGAATTCAAAACTCCTTGGCAGCAGTGTTTGTGTTACTGTAATGTGTTTTCTTTTGCAATGCTGAAGCTTCCATGTATAACTTTATTGGTTGACTGTCAACTGAGCTAAATTAGGAACCATCCAATAAACTGATTTGCAATAGTTGGGTCAAAATAGATTTCTATATTTACTATCTCCTGCTGTATTATGCAATATAAGCCAAATTTTTGTCTATTGCTTATTTTGCAATTTTGTTCTGCTGGCTGGAATTAATGTACATTTTTCTTCCTTCCCATATTAATGTATATTTTACTCTTCCCACGGTAACTCCTTTTAAAAAATCATTCTTCTGATTTCTTTGTTTGCTTTTCTTTACTACAGTCTTTATTTCATTTTTCCTTCTGTATTTTCCTCACATCTTCTCCTTCTTCAAAGGAGTTTTATTTAGAATAAAGCTTAGAATTGGGGTATGTGTTTCTAAATTAAATGTCTTTAATTGTAATAGGGTGGATAGCTATTAAATAATTACATGAGAGGTCCTGGTTACCAGAAAAAGAGCTAGACTAGCTAATAAGAAAAATATATAATATAGGATAACTTCTTTTCCTTAAAATTTTTATTTTGAAGTTAAATGTTTATTTGCTTAATTGGTTCTGCATGAAGTCGTTTTACTTTGTATGCTTGGCATGTTGTCAGTTCAAAATTTTTAATTTGGCGTGTATAAAAAGAAGAACAATTAAATATGAAAGGTGAAAAATTATAACCACATGGGACAGCTGGAGTTTATCTGATGTGACAATTTTCTTTTTCTGTTACAGATTTGTTGCACCTCTATTGGGAATGCAAAGAATTAATAGCCATGATAGGGATATTCTGTTTTCTTAGTGTATTTTTCCTTGGAATGCAATTATTTCATAACTGTGTGAATGAATAATGTATAAAATTTTAGCTCTGCACTAGGCCAAGATTCCTTTTTAATGCCTTTATTTGATGTCCACTTGATTCTAAAAGAGTGTACTATTCACTGTGTTAATCTCAGGCCCTGGGACTTACTTGATTAATTGAATTTTTTTCAGTTCACTGTTCATTAACATGATAGCCAAATATTTTGAACATTCTTCATATGAAATATGACCTCATTGAATCTCCAAATTAACTTTCATTATTATAATGCTGTTCTCTTCATTTTTAATTTATGCCTAATCTATTGTTTTCTATCAAGTTCTTCTCTTGTCCATTTTTGTCATTGTAGATGGTGATGTCCATTTATAAATTTTATTAGGTTTCAGCCCTGTCATTTGGAACTTCATTTCTTTTGTGCTTTTGTATATGTAGCTGATTTCAATCTTTGATCATTTGCTGCTAGTTTCCCATGTTCACTAATTGTATGAAAAATTAGTGAAGAAGGGCCCAGCGAAGAGAGGACAATGGAGTCAAAGTTCTCATTACATTGAAATGGGTTAAGTATTAGGGATTCTATTTCCATTCTCATATACTGAATATTTTCTTTTCTCAGAATATGAAGAAGATTTTGAAATAGATGAGGAGAAAGAAAACGAGAAAGCAAATGAAGAAGGACAGGCTGATGATCAAATGAATGGAATGTCAAAGTCACCCTCAGATGATAAGAAAGACAATTTAGACCCCGAGAAGGGGAGTGAAACCTCATCACAGAAGGTACCAGATGCTGATGACAATATGAAAGATGAAAGTGATGGATGCCCCGACAGTGAATTGGAAGAAGATAAACAAGGTGAGTTTTTTAGCTTCTCATATGACATAGCTTAGTGAGTGATTTTACTACTTTGTGTTATGTTAATGAGATAATCCATTTTTTTTAGAGCAGAGATCTGTAATTGAGAATGCTGTTCATTCAAACCTCCATGGGTATTCAAGTACAGAATCACTTTGATATTCCCTTTCTCTTTCTTTAGTTTTCGGAGAGTTTTCTTTGGAGTGTCAGTTGTGTTTGTGAAGTGTGCTTGGGGTGTAGGGTGGGGGGGAAGGGATGGGGGAATTGTATACCAATGAAGGAATTTTTTTTTCTTTTTGGAGAGGGGAGCAAACTGGTGTGGAGGGGTGGGCAGGGAGAAAAGTGCGGCAATAAATGAATGGAAATTCAAAACCTCTGTAAATGTTTATTAAAATTAATTTAAAAAAAGAAAAAAGTTACCATATTTATTTATTCCAAAATGTTCCTTTAATATATCTGTACCATTTTATTGCTTTGGAAAGTACATTGCAATCAATTAAAAGTTGAAGATCCCTGCCTTATGTTCATAGTTTTTTACTTTTGGTTTTGTGGGTGGTTTTTTGTTGTGGTTGTTTTTTGTTTGTTTATTTTTTTAAGTCACCTTGAGCACAGCAAGCTGGAATGTAACTTTCATGGAGATATTATTTCTCTTGACAAAAGGAGCTACCTCACAATTTTCAAGTCTAAAATGACACAGAACATGCACAAGGGAAAATGGAGAGATATACAGAGAGAAAGAAACTTTCATTCTAAGACATACTATAATTTTTAACACCTTGGTTTACTTAATTTTGTTCAGTGCAAGGAAGAAGATATTTCTTGCTTGATCCTGGAAGGGAGTTTGACCAAGTGGTTCTTAATTAATCATCTCTCCCCTGGTGAATCTTGGCCATTTATCACTAACAAAAATAGCTGCTCCTTATGTCTAATGATGTATTTGTCTTTCAAGTTTGCATCTCACTTGATCATGAGGTCACATGTCCTGTGTAAGAATAGTAAAATGTAACTGTTGAGTCAGGTTATGTAAATATTGGGCCTATGTTCCTATATAACATAGAAAAACCTACTCTAAAAACCTTAAGAAAAAGCTGTGTAAGCAGAGCTAACAATTCTAAAGAAAATATAAAAGTAATTTGAATCTAGAAACAGTTGAAATTGTGCTTGCATATGAATATAAATACTTCAAAGTCCAAAGTAATAATAATTTTTTTATTTCTTTAGTAATAAGGAATTATTACATTGTTGTTGTTGTTGCTGTTATGTGCCGTCGAGTTGCTTGCAACTCATAGCGACCCTATGTACAACAGCCCTAAACTCTGCTCTGTCCTGTGCCAATCGCACCGTCTCTGACACTTCCATCCCAATTATCCCAGTCACTGAATTAATCCACCTCATAGAGGGCCTTCCCCTCCTGCGCTGTCCCTCCACTCTCCCAAGTGATGTCCTTCTCCAAGGACCAGTCTCTCCTCACAACATGTCCAAAGTATGTTAGATGAAGCCTCAGAATCCTTGCCTCCAAGGAGCCACCCAGTTTAACCCTTTCCAGAATGAAACTGTATTCCTAGCAGTCCATGGTACTCTGATTTAATAAAAATGCATATTTTTGCTATCACTTTGTTTGAGATTATTATTGTGTGGCACAATCGTGTTGCATTCTTGAGTTAAATTCTTTTTCTAAGACAGACTAAGTATTTTTATATTCAAATACCGACTGTACTTGGATCTTACTTGTTGGAAAGCTTTAATCATTTAGACCTATATTTGTTGAATAACTGATGGGTAAGTTTTAACATTAAAAAACTTGTCACCTATAACTAGTTGCAATCCTAAAGTTTGTCAAGACAATATATTGCATAATCCAATAGGTCACATGGTAAGCACTATTTACTAAGATTCTCTATTGTGCTAAATATTTTACATAAATTATTTCATGTGTCAAAAATAACCTTTAGAAAGCTGATGCTTTTTTATTGTCATTTCAGTGGAAGTTTGTAGAGCAGACTGATTTTCCCTTCAACAATTCATACACATTTTGTTTTATAACATTAATTATGATACTATACTAATAATGTAACCACACCCTGTCAGCTTCCTCTCTGTGATTCTCATTACTATTTATGGCCTTAGTATGCTCCCAGGGAGCTCTGGTGGCCTAGTGGTAAGGGATTGCTGTCAACCCAAAGGCATATGGTCCGAATCCACCAGCAAGATCATCCTGTGTGATTGACAACCTCTGAAAATCTGTTGGAGGGTCAGCTGTGGGTCAGTTCTGACTCGATGGCACATATCAACAATAGCAGTCAGCAAAGTAGGATGTGAAACTTTGGTTTTATGTGCTGTGTTACAGCAATGAACTTTGATGTCCCTTGAAACAATTAATTCTAGACTTTAGGACTAGCAACTTATTCCCTCAAGGTGCTTGGTTATGACTAAGAAACTTACATAACTTTCTCTATTCTTGGCTCTGCTATATACATGGATGGATTTACAGCATACACTAACTTTAATGAAGAAATATCATCTGCCAAACCTATATATGTTCGTGGCTTATATCTGTGGTACATAGAGTATGTGATTTGGAGCTGATGCAACAGCAACTAACAACAATAAAAACATTCCTCTTGTTTGCCTGTACGTCAACTTGTAGATTTATCTTTATTTTGCTGATATTGCAGAATTATATATGTAAAACACTATTGTGTTTTCTTTTCCTTAGTATATTCTTATGTACTTCTCCATGTTTTCTGTTTTGTTAGTGAAATTATTTTTATCTCATAAGTGTCTAGTGTCTGTTTACTAATTTTCACTCCTTCTCTTTACTTTGCCATCTTTATTAATCATCCAAAAAAGATTCTTTCTGTGTGTGAACCTTTCTTTAGCTATTTTATGATGGTGAACTCAAATAGTATTCACCTTTTGTGGCAGATTTATTTTACTCAGGATCATGCCTTCTAAATTCATCCACATTTTGGAATGATCATAAATTCATCATTATTTGTTAATATTGCTTAATATTCCATTTTTTGTATGAATCATACTTTATTTATTCATCCGTTGATAGACTTGGATTGTTTTACTCTCTTAGACATTTTAAAAGTGCTGCAAAAGTTGGGTTTTTTTGTTTGTTTGTTGGACTGTTTTGTGGGTTTTTTTCAGACACGGTGAAGCAAGCTCCTACTCACAATGAACCTATATATAACAGAACAAAACCTAGTCCAGTCCTGTGCCATCCTCATAATTTGCTGTGCTTATGCCCATTTTTAATTCACTGTGTCAATTTGTTTCTACATATCTGCTCATGTTGTAGCTCTTATATAAGTTACATGTTGTTGTTGTTGTCATGTGTCCTCTAGTTATTTGCGACTCATTGTGACCCTATGCACAACAGCCCTGAACCCTGCTTCATCTTGAGCTAACTTCATTGTCTCTGACACACCTACCCCCATTACCCTAGTCACTGAGTCAATTCATATCATCCAGGGTCTTCCTCTCTCCTGAGCTGTCCTTCCACTCTTCCAAGCATGATGTCCCTCTCCAAGGACTGGTCCCTCCTTGCAACATGCCCAAACTATGTCAGGCAAAGCTTCAAAATCCTTGCCTCCAAGGAGCAGCCTGGATACACCCTCTCCAAGTCAAAGCTGTTCGTCCTCCTAGCAGTCCATGATACATTCAATTCTCTTCTCCAGCATCACAACTCAAAGGCATTGATTTTTCTTCTATCCTCCTTGTCATTGTCCAGTTCACTGAGGCAAAGCATATAATTGTGAAGACCATGGCCTGGATCAAGCATATCTTAGTGTCTAGACTGATATTATTGCTCTTAAGTACTCTGGAGAGGTACCTGACAGTAGATTTTCCTAATGCAATTTGTCTTTTGATTTCCTGGCTTCTGGTGACAAGAGTGTTGATTGTGGAGCCAAGCAAGCTGAAGTTGTTAACAATCTCAGTTTCTTTGCTGTCTATCATGATGTTGCCAATTGACCCAGTGGTGAAAATCTTTGTTTCCTTGATGTTGAGTTTCAATCCACATTGAAGGCTATAGTCCTTGACCTTCAGAAACCAGTTCCTCAGGTATTATTCAGTTTCAGCAAGCAAGATTATGTAATCTTTATAAAGCAGGTTGTTGATGAGTCTTCCTCCAGTGCTGATACCATCTCTCTCTTCATAAAGCCTAGCCTCCTGGATGATCTATTCCACATAGAGATTAAAAAGTTATGGAGATAGGATACATCCTTGACATATACCTTTCCTGATTTTGAACCATGCAGTGTTTTCTTGCTGTTTTCTGACAATTGCCTCCTGGTACAAGTGTAGGTTTCGCATAAGTACAATCAAGTGTTCTGGGATTTCCATTCTTCTCAGAGCCAGCCACAGTGTGTTGTGATCCACACAGTCAAATGCCTTTGAATAGTCAATGAAGCACAGATAGACATTCCTCTGGCACTCTCTGCTTTCAGCCAAAATCCATCTAGTATTGGTTGTAATATCCCTAGTGCCACAGTCTCTCCACAACCCAGCCTTCACATCTTGCAGTTCTCTGTTAATGTGCTGTTCCAGTCATCTTCTGAAAATTTTCCACAGGATCCTGCTTGCATGTGATATTAGCGATATTGCTTGATTATTTCCACATTGTTGGGTCACCTTGTTTTTTGGGAAAGGAAACAAATATGGATCTTTTCCAGTCAGTTGCTTAAGTGGTTGTCCTCCAGATTTCTTGGCACAACCTGGTGAACACCTCCAGGGAGGCATCTATATGTTAAAATATGTCAATTGGTATTCCATCAATTCCTAGGGCCTTCTTTTTTAGCCATTCCTCCAAAGCAGCTTGAACTTTCTCCTTTAACACCATAGACTCTTGATAATATGTTGTTTGATGAAATTCTTACTAGTAGTAGTATTGCTAGATCATATTTGTATTTCTAACTCTTTAAAGAAGCCGTAAAGTTTCTTCATAGAGCTTAGACCATTTTACAATCCCTCCAGCAGTGTGTGAGAGTTCA